ATTTTTCAGTTGCGATAATTTCATATATCGTCGAACAGCCCAGTGTCTCAGCGGTAAGCTTGATGGCTTACAACACTAAAATCTGAGTTCCATCCCTGCAATGGGGACACAGCGCAGATAGCTCATTGAGCAGCTTTGCGTTTAAACAAAAGTAAACGACTAGTTGAGAGAATTAAACGGCCTATAAAAATACGTTATCTAATGCTTTTGTATATAATTATACATTTGACAGTGTTATTAACCACATTCCGGTGCCCACATCTGTTTTCTCCCTGTCTCTATCTCGTGTGAGAGGTTGTTTTATTTTTTAACATGTTACGTTAGCAGTGCTGGACAGAAGAAGGAAACTGTTGATAGAGTGCCTTGAGCCACGTTATCCTTTCAACTTATTATAAATCAGATGGAAACATCTAACTTCTATTTGGGTGGTTGTGTGAAGAGTTTTTGTCGAGTATAGAATAAATCCTTCAATTTGGGGTAGGACATATTTCTAGATTTTACTAATACGAGGGATTGTTACAAACTAACTAACATCACTCACATTGTTCTTCAAAACGGTATATTGCACACGAGCTGAGTCGTCACTCCGCTTATTTCTTGAAGGACCATATTGCTCAAAATGTCACCGGGATGATAGGAGAAAACGCAAGAGACCTTACAATCGGCAGGACAATTACTTAAGGTCTTAGAAGAAAAGTGGGATGCCTCCCAAGAGATCTTGGCCGTCAGCGTCAATAAATCGACAGCCGCTCTGACTTCTTGACGTGGCTACTATAAGGGTTAGGTCGCTTGAACAGTCTTGTAAAGATCACTTAAGACATAGTTTGTTCGGGCAGAACTGTGTGGATCCTATATTATATGTTTTTTCTTCTATTTTTTTTTAGACACAGAGAAAGACAACCTCTCCTTAGGACTTAAATACTAATTTCAATATAACTCATATTTCTCTGAAAGCCAAGAAAAGGTATATTTAAAACGTTGCTATCAATTATTTTCACGCCCAGCTATGATCCTTTAAAATACTAACAGTTATCAAGTACAGTCTGAAGATATCATTAGATTTGCCAACCAGTAATCAGAATTAAAATACATCAATTCAGCTACAGGTAAACATGCTTTTTGGCTATAACTTCCTGAACTCAACACGTTACGTTTAAATTTTTTTATGAAAGTAGCAATAATAGCTTTATAAAGAACAAAGAGAAAATTAAATCCAGACAATATATCCTTGGGAGGAGTAATATCTCCCCCAAAACTCAAAAAATACTAAATGAGTACAAACGTTTGTATACTTTAAACAGGAATTTTGTGTTAAAATAAAAAAAACGTACAGCGTTATTTTAGTTTATAACGTATAATTTAAGCCGTATAGTTTAAGTTATATCTTAACGTAAACGCTGCGAGCAGTTAACCGTATATTAACACTGCGAACAGTTAATCCTATATTAACGTAAACGCTGCGAGCAGTTAACATTATCTTAACGTAAACGCTGCGAACAGTCCAAAGCAATACTTCTTCCCATACCAAACTACGTATATCAGAACTGAAAACTAACTCACTAATGACTGTGTTTAATTTAATATACCATTTTTTACTTAAAATTACTGAAATGCACTGATTCATTGCTTGGCCACCCTCGCTGTTAACGATATATTCGCTCGTAATCCTAAAAATAACTCATGAGGCTTTGGCCAGCTTAAGAAATGTAAGTAATGGTGGAGATTCTTTTATTGAACTCTGTGGCCTGATTTCATTTTGAAATTAGTATCACAAGGTTTTTTTTTCTCCATTTATGTAGGATAGAACAACATTTATAGATAACACACTTTCAACCTTTAAACATAGCATGTCCCAGTGTGTAGTTCCCAGGCAGTTCAGCGGAAAGATTACTGACTTATAACGACCAAATCCGAGTTTCGATTGCTAACGAGTGGCAAAGCTCAGATAGCCCATTATATTGCTTTACACTACGAAAACAACAATAATAGCCCAATGTGCAGTCCCTTGGTGGGTCACCGGTAAGTCTACGGACTTACAATGCCCCAACCCGAGGTTCGATTCCTCACTGAGTTCGGATAACCCATTGTGAAAACAACAGTGACAACCCAATTTGTAGTCTAATTATTTGGCAATAACACTTAAATTATAAGAGCGTGAGACGATCACTGTTCAATAATTGTCAGGATTTGTTTATATTTATCTATAAATACAGAACGAAAAAAAACATATGTAACCAAACGAAGACTATTTCTGTAGCTGGCTGTGACTCCTTTTGGTACTTCATAATTGCTAGCATTGACAAAGTTTGAAAGCTGTAGAATGTTGTATGTTTCTCGCGGCACCAATTTCCGCTTCCAAACTTCAAACTAATGGTCGAACATTGCTGGCAGCCTGTAGAAATGTAGAAGCGTATGAGTCTGCATTTGGCTTATGTTACACTAGAAACAAATTACAGGTTAGGCCTGGCATTCCTAATGAGCGTGCAGTGTGACAGCCGTCAACTCACAGATATTGAAACAGAACTGACAACCCTCTGTATAGGCCACATAATCAGCAGCAGACATCACGAGAAGTTAGAATGTAGCTTCCCTTAATAATCTCTGCACTACAGTTATTTTTGTTTTCAAAAGAAATTAAGCTCCGGAATTGAAAACAAGAATTTAGTTTTGTATTGTATGTCTTGTAGCTGACATTCCACTACTAATATTATAAGAAAAAAAAAGATACAATTTTCACGATAGATTTTTACACGACAAAAGCTTAATGTATGTAATTATAGCGCATATATATATATACATCATTATATAGACTACGATGAAGTTCCATGATTTTCCCTTCGTCCAGTTTCTTTGTGGTTTAAGTTTTTGTGAAGTCGTTAACTTAACTGTACAATATGTTCAAAATTATCTACATTATATGTAATTAATTTTGAAACAGTTAAATGAATGTGTATATTCTTTAAACTATTATTTTATTATAAATGGCAGAAGCTGGGGTGTGGAAGAGAGGTTGGTGTTTTTAAGTATTTTTTAAGTTCTGATGAGAACTTAAAATCAAACCAAACTGAACCTAGTCCATATAACATACTGTCTTATAGTTATAAAGATTATAATGCAGTGTCTCAACAGTTAGGCACTCTCGCTGTTAACGATATATTAGGCCGTAAACAATATTCTGTACTGATGACTGCTTGGAGCATGCAATATTTTGTTGTCTGTAGCTTTGTCATATTTATACGTGATAAGATTAAGCATGCAGTAATTATTTCTTGTATTTTCATCCTGTTTATAGATCGATTTTAGGAATACATTTAAGTTTCTTTCTTGTAATTTTGTCTTGTTATATGTCATTGTTTAGAATGTACTTTTCCTTTCAGTTCTGCTTTATTTACTAGAGACGAGTAGCCGACACCGTGTGTATTACTTAAAACTCAAACCCACACTTTTCTTTTTAATTTTGATACAAAGACTCGTATACTACTTTATATGCTTTCCTCGGAAAACGGTGTCACTCACCCCTTCACTCTCAGGGGCTCAGCGGTAAGTCTTCTCACGCTAAAAAAACCTGGGTTTCGGTACTCGTGGTGGGCACAGCACAGAAAGCCCACGGAGTAATTTTGTGCTTAAAAACGAACAAACTGTGTCTCACGTCAGCATTTCTGAAGATCATTTCAAACTAAGTCGTTTTCTCAACACGTACATCCTATAAAGAATAGTGAATCAAATTTCACCACATAAGCTGTGCGTTAGAACGAACCTCTTGTTTCTCTGTGAAGTACATTATAGTTCATTTCTTGTACTTTTGTCTTATTATACACCTCTTTCTGTGTGTCTCCATGTAGCCCAGCGGTAAGTCTAACGTAAGTAATTGTCTAGACTAGGAATGTTTAATATCTCACTGTTTGGGCAAAGAGTATTTTTACAGCTTGTTATTGTGCAATTTTTTAAAAAGTGTTTTTACAGCTTCTTATTGTGCAATATTTTGAAACAGTATTTTTACAGCTTCTTACTGTGCAATATTTTGAAACAGTATTTTTCAGCTTGTTATTGTGCAATTCTTTGAAACAGTATTTTTATAGCTTGTTATTGTGCAATATTTCGAAACAGTATCTTTACAGCTTGTTATTATGCAATTCTTTGAAACGGTATTTCTACAGCTGTTATTGTGCAATATTTTCAAACAGTATTTTTACAGCTTGTTATTGTGCAATTATTTCAAACGGTATTTTTACAGCTTGTTATTGTGCAATATTTTCAAACAGTATTTTTACAGCTTGTTATTGTGCAATTTTTTGAGGAATACAGTATTTTATCATTTCATTTTTTGTAAACATTTTAAACTGAAATTATCTTTCATACGATAGGTACTTAAAACCATTTGATTTGTTCATATTTATTGACTATCTTTTTATTTCTCATATATTCAGTGTTAAATATTTGTAAATATAATTAATTTACATAAGATTCAGAAAAAAATTGTGTGTTTTTTTAACTTCTCGCGCAAAACTACACAAACTATTCACGGCCGTCTCCAATTTTTAACTGATAGACTATAATAGAAGGCAGATTGTGAACAGCACCTTCCGCCAATCCTTGGACAACTCTTCTCTGACCTGTTAATGGGATTTGACCATCACTTTTATAAAACACCCAAAGCGCTTATTCTAACCGTTAATCTATAGGTCACGCTTCTCTACTTTGTATTATAGTTATAATATTTAACAAAGTGTTCCTAACGAAAAGCATCTAAAAATGAGCTAACACCAACTACTAGTCGCACTTATCTTAAAAAATATTTATTACTTGCAGAGCTGAAACGAAAGAATATGAAGGAATAACACAGTGTGTCTATTAAATTTTGGAACCTCCTTTTCTCCTTATATCCTCAAACCATTTTTTATTCTGATACCTTAATATCTCATTCGTTGTGTCTTTAACATTTGATATTTTTTAGGTAACGTATATATTTTATGTATGTATGTATTTCTGTTTATTTTCAGTTATATTCGAGTTCCGGTAGTCGGCGCTGCCAGTCATCATGTCAAAGATGAGGGAGCATTGGTGTAGACGACTTCTTGTGATATTGTTCGCACTTGTTGTCGTGGTAACGCAGGTGACATGGTATGTTTTAGTGAATTCTTTCTAGTTAAAAACAAAACAAAGTTATATGTGTTTAATAAAGTTGCAACTTTTAATTGTTTAATGGCTCTAAGTTATCTGAATTTAACAAATGTATTCATAAAATGTTTACATGGAAGATCTGTATGACATAAGTATTACATTTTGAATTTTGAATGTAAAACTAGTTTAAATTTATGTCGGATGAAACTATAGCAAAGTAGTGCTTTTAAAACGATTTATATTAGCTTTTCATTTTATTTTACTAAATTAACATTTAGTTTTCTTGGTATTAATGTATTGGTGCATTTTAATAAGCTGATATAATCTCAAATACGGCTACTGTTGGATTATGATGGATTCCTAATACTGAGACTGTTCCACATTTACTTAAAAGTGGATTAGGAATTACTATTCGTCGAACTTCGTTTCTATGTATTTTTTTTTTTTTTTTTGCTTTCGGCAAATTAAATACGTCATATATCTATTTCAGTTATGTTTTACATAACATAGTCGAAGTCTGTCTTGGGTCATTTGCTAATATTTTTCCCGATTCTCTTTCCTTTTTTCTTCACGTTTTTTTTTATACTATTGGAGTATTTAGTAGGAATAGCCGAACAATGCTTTACGAAACGTCCATATTGAATGTCATAGAGAAAAAGCAGATTGTTTCAGTGCTTTATGAAACGTCCATATTGAATGTCACAGAAAATAAACAGATTCTTTCAAAAACAATACAAGAACAGCTACACAAGGATCTCTAAACACGCAAAACATGCCAACACGAACTGAAGATATCAATGCCGTAACTGCTGTGTATTTCAACAAATATCGATGTAAAAACTGCCGTATGCTTTTCCGAATAATGATGTAATAACTGCCGTATACTTCCCCGAGTAATGATGCAATAACTGCCGTATACTTGACCAAATAATGGTATAATAACTGCCGTATACTTCACCAAATAATGGTATAATAAGTGCCGTATACTTCACCAAATAATGATATAATAACTGCTGTATACTTCACAAAATAACGATGTAATAACTGCCATGTGCTTTTCCGAATAACGATGTAATAACTGCTGTGTGCTTCACCAAATAATGGTATAATAAGTGCGGTATACTTCACCAAATAATGATATAATAACTGCTGTATACTTCACAAAATAACGATGTAATAACTGCCGTGTGCTTTTCCGAATAACGTTGTAATAACTGTCGTGTGCTTCACCGAATAATGATGTAATAACTCCCGTGTACTTTATCGAATAATGATGTAATAACTGTCATAAAGTTCCCAAAATATTCGAGTTGTAACTGTGGTATACTTCGCCGAATAAACGGTCAGTGTAATTTGTATTACATCTTATGGCAATTATGTAGTAACCACTATTGTAAAAAATATTAAATAATTACATTAAAACATACACACTAAAAAAATCAGCAAAACCCTCAAGGTGGATGTGTCTAGATAATGGAAAACTAGTGTGCTAACATCTTTTATGGGTAAAAATATTTTTTTCGTGTTGTTTATTATTATAGCGAATTTGATTTAATGCTGTTGTTTAGGATGTTGATCTTTTTCATTTGTTACATTTAAGAAACTATAACATCAATTTTTTTCCAACTGTTTTGTCAGTGTAATCTCTATATTATGAACTCCAAGTCCTTTCCTACTTGTCTTTATTATTTATAATAATACCAACATTATTAGTCTTATATTCAATTTTGATGACAAGTCATTCAAGCTTTATGCTGTAGTTTCTAACTAACAGTAGGTTTTTAATATACGTTACTATTAGGAGTTCAAATATTCTTTACCAGTGTTTATTTTATTTAAACTTTTGTACAATGGTTCTAGAGATAGTCACAGCTTTCAAGTTGTTTCATTGGTGCGTTAAGATTCATTACGCTGCTGTGTCTCCTCTTGTCAGAGATATACTCTTCGTTCCTACTAACCATATTGGAGTTGGACGTGGCCTTGTGGTTAACGTGCTAGGCTGCGTATCGGAAGATCTTGGGGTCAAGCTGCGACATGCTACTGAACACGCTGTATAATTTTAATTGTGAAAGCGTTATAAATGTGACAGTCAATTTCGCTAAAGAATGGCCGATAGGAGGCGAGTGCTGCCAGTTGAATGATTTAACTCTGGTCAGCAGTTCTAAGGTATAGTTGCATATGCCTGAACTTTGGGATCTCTGACCTGGCTATTTAACCCATGTGTAACATAAAGAGTCGTTCAGATTGGAATAATCTATTAACAATTACTAACAATCTTATATAAAATTTATAGATATATTGTATTGTTTCATCAAACTTTGTGCAAGAACACTACAAATAGAAGAATATTAGAAAGCATAAAAATATAGCAGAAGAAGGATGTTAGTGCTGCCAATTTACAAGTAGAAGTTCAACAAACTGTTCACTTAGAAAAATCACAAGGTTCTATAATTACCAAACTACAACACAGCCCATCGTTACCACATAAATGTTGAATAAGACAACATGTTTTTAGTTTCTTGTTAAACGCAGTTACAGTATGGACTATCTGTTTTGGGCCTACCGCGGGCATTGAAACCCAATTTTCAGCGCTATAAACCATCAGAATTACCGCTGAGCCACTGGGGGAGGGGATGATTTTAAACAACAGAACGGCGTTGCTATTTCGCCAGATTTGTGTTTATTTCTTTCAGTTCTATAATTAGTTAACACAGAAATATAGTGAGTTATCCAGCATTACTTTGGTGTTTTATAATTCTGTACTTTTTTAATAGCAAGTTTTTATAGTAAGCTCTCTGTTTCTTTGTAACTTGCATACGACACACATTAAAGTCAAACACGCCACCTTGAACATTCTTCACTCTGCACAATAAACATCAGATAAATAAGTTACATAAATAAATAAAATATAAAGTAGTAACAAGGCTTACATCTCAATCTTAAACCCCAACCGATTGGCTTTAGTCCTATCCAAACACAGACAACTTTAAGAAATAGTCTTAAGCCTAATAAACTTTACGAATATCTCTAAAGAAGGTAGATTATTTTGGTAAATATCAAAGGGTTTCTCGCATAGTCTGTACTTACTTCAAATTGACAGAACTATGTGTGAATTCCATTCTTGTATAATTGGTAGTGCATTAATCAAAGGCCATTAGCACAGTGTCCGCTGAAGAATCAGCACAAACTACAGAAGACGAGATTTTCCATTCCGATGAATGAAATAGATTTTATGTAGTTTCGCCTTCTGGCGAACAGTCATCGTGGTAAAAACGAGATTCGTCTCGAAACATAGACCCTCGCAGGCTTTTCATTACCTGAAAATAAGTACCAGTTTAATGAGGAGATCTAGTGGTCTTAGTTTCCCACATTCCTGTAGTTAAAATCCAATAACCACTCGCCTGCGGTGTTTTAAATACCAACCTGCTTCTTCCATTATACGGCATAGTGAAAAATTTCACTTGTCTTAATATTAGAAGGGCAAAAAGTATTTTTTCTTTTTATGCCTCTAAAGAAATCCTGTTGTTCATTATTAATAACTTCTGATGAAAAGCAAGCTAATTAATTAGACCAGAACCAAAAAGTATCTTATGAATTTATAAAGTTAATTCTATGCGGCAAAAACTGTACAAAAGTACATAATGTTATAGATCAACACAAAACAAAACTAAAATCAATAATGATTAGAATGCAAAAAAAAAATAATCAGTTAGATATCTCCGCTATTAATGCCATATTCGGTTGTTAAACTTATATATTAATTTTAATGATTCAAAGTTCCTAGGGAAATCTATGATTTCAATATCCTAAATCTTAATTTAAAAAAGTATAATTCATTAACGTACTATTAATAACTTTATTAACTTCCTTGGAAACTCTGATTTTCTTTTACAATTCTGGGAAACATTCAAACGATTAGATTTTTGTGGAAAACCTTAACTTGGTAAAATTTTAAGAATCAACTTCAAAGAAAATAATACGCATAATGAAAATGTAGAATATTCCTTCAATTCTGATAGGGTTTGCGTTTTTAATTTGCGTTTTATGCCCCGTATTTTTCAATTATTTGATGTCGGTCTTGTATTCCCTTTTATCTACCTCTTCAAATGACTTCTAATATTTTTCTTGTTTTCACCTCTTGAAACCATGTACTGCTTAAATATTTAAAGTGCTTTAGAGTAGTTACCTTGACAACTGAAAAGTTCATTCGATTGTTCTATACACAGCTGATTTGTATTATTCATTATTAGTTTATTCCCCCAATTGTCTGTTCGTAAGGTTCTTAAGCAAATGAATATGAATACCAAAAAAATTTGAAATGAGTTTTCACATTCATTATGGAGTTAGCAATTTGTGTGTATTAATGATCCAAAAGTGATGTATCAACGACATTCTTCATGGCGTAAGTTGCACAATTTTTCTCTAAAAGTTTCGAGTTTACAAGTTATATCTGAGAAAACAATTTTAAAATAAATCATGAACTAACTTTAAATACACAACCAACTCTCGTCACAAGCGTGTTCTCACATAGTTGCCATAATAAAAAGCTCTGTGTATGAACCAACAAATGTGTCAATATCTTACGTCTCATCCATGTTGCATTTCCTCAGTACGTCATTAGTTAAAACCTCAGGATTGTTTGTTGTGTTGTTAAACACACAGCTACACAATAGGCTGTCCGTGCTATGCCCTCCACAAGTATATAAACCCGATTTTTAGCGTTATAGTCCGTCAGACTTACAGCTGATTCACTGCACGAGAAAGAAGTATTGAGAGTATTTCAGCATTTTGAGTTTTGTATGCAAACATAACATATTTTTCATATATTGAGATAGCTATATTTTGAAAAATATTGTCTGGTTTATTCTTCAAGAATCAAGTTTTCTTAACCGTACTGTTAAGAGAAAAACTACTGGAAACTAATGGTCTTTTAAAGCACTCCTTCCAACAGTTGGCGCACTGTATTGGGAACTCAAGAGTTCGTTGCTCTCGCCCCGTTG